GCTGAAGCTACAGAGCACGCCACGGCATCCAGTCGGAAGCCGCAGTCGCTCCAGAGACCTTCGAAGCTTCGTGAAGCAGAGGCACGCTGTCGCTCTCTCCCGCCTGGCCCCGATAGAGTTCTTGCCGGGCGAGAGGCCCGTCGGCTGCGACGGCGGTGGGAGGCCGCGCGCGAGTGCGCGCCCGTGCGCCCGCTTCTACGCACCTTGACCTTGGGGGGGGGGCCCGAGGAAGACCGAGCTGTATGGAGAACGCACTCACATCATCATTGTCAGAAGCGACATCACGACCCCGCCGTCACCACGCACCTTCAGGATATCCTGATCCACGAATTGGAGGCCATCGACTAAAAATCAAATCATCGACGGAATCCCGAGACCAAAGCTGGAAATCCGACACGAGCTTGAGGCTAGAGCAAAACTACCTGAGGGAAAGGCCGCGGGAGGGAACAGTGCGATCGTGCCAGAGATGATCCAGCAACTCCCGATGTCATTCGTGTATGTCGGGTTCGAGCGATTCCGTGGGCGCTACGAGGGGCGCCGTGACAGTTTGGGCGGGCAGGGAGTCGAGGAATGGCGTCATCTCATCATGTTTTTTCTCCCCAAGGAAACCAAACTCCTGGACTTCAACAGCTTTCGGGGCATCACGCTCATAGCTGTTTTCCTCAACTGGCGCATTCAAAGTCTTGTGATTTTAGATCGTGACAAGCCGCTGGCACCTGCCTGGAGCTCTCTAGCCATATTCGGTTTCGAAGAATGTTTGTCTGCGGAGCAGCTCTCTGGTGGCTTGGGCCTCCTTCCCGCCAGGTGCAAGGAATGGGCCCCTCATCTGGAGTTGCACATCGCATCGGCTGACGCGAAGGGCGCGTTCGACAACATGCGGGAGCGCAATGTTGCCAGCGCCTTGATGTGGCGCGGCATGCGCGCGGCCATTGTCCGAGCGTTGGTCGACGAGCACCGGGGGCTTTTGATGCGCCCTCTGTTCGAAGGTTTGGGCGCGAGCCGGTTTTCTTCAACGACGCGGGGGCCCAGGGCAGCGTCGACACAGCATTGTCCTGGAATGCGCTGATCGGCTAGGTCCTCTTTCCCTTGCATGTTCGTTGGTGCGAGGCCGGTTGGGGTATCAACCTGCTGGCTGATGCGGCGATGCACGCAAGAGAGGAGAGGGGGTACCCTGCGGCGCCAGGTGTGTACACGCACCTTGTCTGGGCGGACAACGTGTACCTGCTATCAACTTCACGTAACTTTTTGCCGTCCATGATCTCAGAGCTGACGGCCGCTATACATGCAGTAGGTTTGTAATGGAAGCCAGGCTCGATGGCATACCTGCCCATTGCCGTGGACCCGCAGCCACCGTTGGAGGCACCGGCGAGCCCCGAAGCAGGAGGGGAGCAGTCAGCATTCCAGTAGTGGAAGCATTGAACATATTGGGCAACACGGTATCGAATGAAGGCACCAGCCATGCAGCGGTTGATGCTCGTTTGTCTTCGGCTGGCCAGGCGTTCTGGCGCGACCAACGTTGCCTGCGAAATAAAGGCATACCGCTCCGCATGAGATTTGAGCGCTACCAGTCTCGCGTCTTGCCAGTTGCTATTTTCTGTTGTGGCTGGTGGTCTTGGTCGAAGCATTTGGTGGAGAAGCAATTGCCCTGGGAAGGCCAGCACCTCCGGCGCATCTTGATGCTAGCTCGGAGACCTGGTGAAGACGGTGCATCTCACTTCAAGCGAGGCATCCATCGCGCTCGAAAGATTTATGGGAAGATGGGATTTGAGCCGCTCGCTTACCGGGTCTTGAAGGCCATGCTCGCGTGCGCCAGGAGAGTGAACCCGCCGTGTCCTGACAGGCCCACGGCGGCTTATTGGTGGCTGAGAGACGTGGCCCGATTCTGGGGCACCGCGCATTGGCGTCAATTGCAACATATTGGCATGAAAGAGAACCTGCGGAATACAGCGTCCAGAGGAAGGTGGAAGCACCGCCACAACTACACCCGCCCGAAGCAGTGGGACTATCCTCTACGACGCTTTCCTGGACTGGGACTCTGTCAGCAATGCCGCCGCCCACGAGACTGGAGCCCTGCATGCCCTGACCCGCGCGGCTTTTGATTCAGTGGGTTTGCACGCGCTGCCGCCTGGAGTGCCCGCCGACCCACCCGTCGCGGGTAGGCCACCAGCCAAGAAGAGAAAGGCTGTCCGTTTCGACACCCGCCACGAGTGGAGCCAAGACGGCTCTCTCCGCATCCAGTTCAATGGAGATAGCGTGCTCGTCGTTCGCTGGCTCGAGGAGGCTTGGCGCTGCAAACCCCGATGGCATCGCCCTATAACTGGGGCAGTGCAGGGCATGGTGTATCACTTCTGGGCGCAAGTTGGGGAGGTCCTTTTGCTCCCATCCAGTCGTGGTTCCAACGCCGGCGCAGAGAGTTCAATGCCGAGGCGGACGCTTTGGCGCTGAAAGCGCACGAACAGCACCCGCTGGACTCGTGCACGTGCACGCCTGTGCCTGACGGAGGCCGCCTCGAGAGGCTTGAGGGCTCTTGGGATGGCAGTTTCAGGAGCGGCCAGGCGACCGGTGCTTGGCTACTGTACTGTAAGTTGTCTGGATCACTCAACGCGTTTTTGCGTGCCCAGGGAGCTCGCACGCTCACTGCCGCAACTGCGGTGCGAGCGGAGCTGGCTGGAGCCAGGGATTTAGTTTTGGCGGCTACACAATATGTCCAGTTCAATTCAATATGCTTCGACGGAGACGGGTCGATCAAGCAGGCCAGACAGCGAGCTGTTCCCGCCAGTGCTTAAAATAACAGCGCATGTTGCTACAACATACGCTATCGATGCGGCCAATGCCGCCGCGCCAAAACAGTCACCAAAGGCCTTGGGTGACTGTTTTGGCGCGGGCCTGTTTTCGGGTATGAAGACCCCGCCTCCCGATGTCTGAATTAGGCATGTGGGCTCGACAAAAAGCGTTCCGCCCAGACGGAACCAACACGCGGCCTGTTCAGTCCAACCAGTGCCCAGTGTTATTTTCAGATTCCGCGATCACCAACCTGCTGATAGCGAGGAGGTTAAATCATCATCATCATCAGCATCATCATTCGCATTATCACCATCATCGTCATCAGTATCATCATCATCATTCGTCCTTCTCCTCATCCGTTCTGCTGTGTTCATTATTATCCTTCCCCCCTCCTCTTGCTTTTCCTCCTCCTCCTCCTCTTGCTTTTCCTCCTCCTCCTTTCGTCGACTGTCCACGCGCTTGTTCGTGGCCGCATTCTGCCTGACCTTACAGCGGCGGCGCTCGCACAAGCAAAGGCTGCATCCTCTCCTGCAAAAGTTGCCGCGATCCTTCTCGTCCTTCGTGTCGTCCGTCTACTCCTCCCCCTCCTCCTCCCCCGTGCCCCTTCTCCTTATGTTCATCATGATCTCCGCCCTCTGATCCTTTTCCCTCGCTCTCCTGATCCATAACGCTTCCTCGTAAATAATCATTCGCCGCCGCACCAGTAGACGTGTTGGTTAGGCGAACTGGAGGTTTCGTTTGAAATCTACTCACAGTCAATGGCCATGAAGCTTGAAATTCCCAGCAGCTACAGCGATGAAGGGCGGGTGGGTTTCCAAATCTAGTTTTCGTCTCAGTCGCGTGCATGTTCTAGTCCAAAAATGACAAGGATGAAGGGCTGGTGGTTTTCAAAATGCTGCTCTTCGCTTCAGGGCTGAGCATATTCGTTTAGCGAGCAGCCATGGCGCCGCACACATTCGTATCAACAGCTCCCACCAATTAGAATGTAGAAGGACAAATGGTTGCTTTTGGTATGAAGTGGGCTGCTCTGACCAAGTCCCTCGTCTTCTTTCTTGCTTGTCGTCATCCTCGTCAGCTTTCTGTCGGGGGGGGCGTTCGCTGATGATGTTGGCGTTGGAGGGGCATTCGCCTTCGCCGTACTGGAGGCCTCCCTTTGTGTTCCTCCTCGCCCAGCGCGCCGCTGGACTTGGCTTGAAATAGGCTGAAACCCAAGTTGTGATGCTCGGGAATCCTGCCAGTAGCGAGGTCGTGCAGGAGCTCGAGCGTCGTGCAACCGTTCGCACATTGTATCATTTTGGCTATTGGTAACTGCCTTGGTGCTCTTCTCAGGTCTGACGGCTTCTCTTCTTCCTGGAGTGAGCCTGAGCGTAAGCTCATGCAGCGTATCTGGGATTGACTCCAGCTCGGACTCGTGAAGGCTGTCGGCTGCTATACTGTTTCGTATGCGCTTTCTGCTTGCAATGCGCTTTACAGTTCTATCCCCTCTCCCCCCACACATTGCTCGCACTGAATTCGAAGGTCCACAGTTGCTCACGCATGGCCCTCGCTTGCCTTACATTCAGGTCCTGCTTTGTTTGATTGCTTTCTTTCACTTCCAGGCTGATGCTCTCCGAATTGACTTGGTGAGCCGCACCGTCGCCTATCGCGTTGCCCTCTCTTCCTCAGGTTTTGCGTATGCCCAGATCCCCACGGAGACCTTTGATGGCGATAACGATTGTGTAACGGCACCCGAGGTATACGAATTCGGTGTACGCTAGGTTTGATAGTAGGTAGCCTTGGAGCCGCGTCTCAGCTTCCCCGTGCTCCCTTCTTTGGAACTTGCTCGTCGCAGAAGAAGACGCTTAGGCTTTCGAGAGGTATGGCTTCTCTGTGCCCTCGTCCGACCTTTGCTGCTCGGATGCGGCACTGGGCCTCGGTCCCCTCCGATAGCCACACCCCTTTTATCTTTCCTGACCTTCTCTAACAGCTATTGTGGGAGTGCTCTTCTTCCTCCTCCTCGGCCTCCTGCTCCTCCTCTCCCCCAGGTCCCTCTCCTCCCTTCTGCCCTGTCTCCTCCTGTCAGACATCCTGCTCCCTCCCCCCCTCCTTTTCCTTCCCTTCGTGCTCCTCCTCATCCTCCTCCCCAACCCGCTCTCTCGCTCTCTCTTCCTACCCCCGTATCCTCCTCCTCCTCCTCCTCCGCACCCACGGCCATCGGGGCGACCGGCGCGACGCAGGTCTGGCGGAGGAAAGCTTGGCGCTCGTGGCGGTGTGCTTCTGCTGCCGCGGGCGGCGACCGTCCGCGGCCAACGCCACCGCTTGTCGTGAGCCTCTGCGGAAAACAGCTGCTCGCCACCAGACATCCAGAGGCTCGAACAAAATCGAGACTGCGAGTTGTATTGCCTTCTGAGCTTTCGGAAGCTGCTTTCAGGTCCCAGGACCGTCAACAAATGGCTCGGGAGGAAAAGCAGGCTCGGGACAAGAAGGGGTTGAGGCGTCCATGGGCTTGTGTTTCAAAGGGCTGGCCCCCCAGGTGTCAGGGTCGACCCCCAGACATCTTAAACGACGGAGGGCATGTTCTGAGTTCTGTTCGCCTTTCTTGTGCTCCGGGGGGGGGGGGGGCTGGTCGGCACGGCTGGATTCGCCTATGGCGGACGATGGCGATGACCTGCTGCAAGACCCAGGTCACCCGCAGGGGCGCGCAGATGACCGAGCTTCGCCCTCCTCGCGGCCTGGGCCGGAGAGTCGTTCCTCGCAGGGGGAAGCGGCGGGGCGGCACGGGGCCGCGAGACGATGCCCCTTATCCCGTTCTTCTTCTCCTTCTCATGATTCTTCCTCGGCCCCCTCGTCGTCGTCCTCCTCCCCTCGCCCTTACGTCTTCCTCATCGTCCTTCTTATCGTCCTCTCATCTCCTCCTCCCCCTCCTCGTCCTCCTCATCTCCCTGATCTCCCTCCTGGCGAGTGATCCCGAAGACAACCTGATTGGCTTCTTCGCAAGCGGAAGCAGAAGAGGCGGATCGCAACTGGGTGCAAGCCGCCCCTTCCAGCTGTGAAGAACGGAGCGCTCGCCCAGGCTTAGAATATGGTTCATGATGGTATTTTTTTAGATGGCCACTTCGGTTTCTGCTGTTCCACCCCCCTCCTTCTTCTCTCCCTCCTCTGCCGCCTCCTCCCTTCTCCCCCCCCCCCTCCTGGCAGAGCCTTTTTATTTTGGGGGGGGTCCAGGAGCTGATTTTGTTGCGATGCCCGCCAAGCCGAAAGCGCCAGTTTGGCATTCGCCCAGTGTTGGTTGTTCCCTACACTTTGTATTTCAAGCGTCAGGGCGCAGTGTTGGGATTCATTCCTCCCCGCGACGGGGGTCAGAGCTTGAACAACATTTGAATCAAGTTAGCATTAACAGATGCTACATGCATATTTACTACACGGCGCGCCTCCGCTCAGGAAACACAGCCCTGTGCACGGTTCATGTCCAGCAGTCTGCTTTGAGTGATGGAGGCTCCTGGACTTTCAAAGTTGATATGCCTGCGATGCTTTGCAAGCTGCTATTGCACGATTGATAGATCAAACCCGCTCATTCCCCCGCGGCTAATGCCGAGGCTTTCCGGCATGTTATGTTTTCGATGCTACCTGTGGTTTATGGTGCTCGAAGTAATTTGTTTATATCCGGGTAGACTGAAGCACTTGAAATGTTAGCATACTGTGTTGAATTGGCTGCGGTCTCAACGCTGCAAGTGCCATGGACGGTGGGTGATCGCACACGCTCCTACTCGTTATCCTCCTCTACATGACCTGGTTTCTCCGCATCGTGTATGCCCTCCTTCCTCTGACCGAGAAAACTTACACCATTCCACCGGCCGCTAGAAGGGATAGTTTGCCACGATCGCGGACACAGACCTGCTCGCTCGAGGCGCAATACATGGGCCCGTTCGGGGTCCTTTGGGGCCGTCGGTTCTGGGCGGGGTATGTTCCGCCACCGCGCATGGCTTCTGGGTGGGAGGCATATTGGATGCCTGTGGAGTCTCTCGGGAAGCCCATGGGGAGTTTCTTCGAGGCAGATTGGAGGCCTCTTGGGGACCGCTGGGGAGCCTTCTTGGATCTCGTGGGGTGCTGTTGGCGACCGTTTGGTTGTTTTTTATGCTTCTCGGGGCCTCTCAGCGGGCTCTTGAGAGCCCGTTGGCGGTCTCTGGGGCTCCCGGAGAGCTCGAAACGTCAGTTCGACCTCTCGGTCCCCTCTTGGGGCCCCGTTGGGGCCTTCTTGGGCCGTCTTAGACGCTTCTTGGGCGGTCTTGGGACCCTCTTAGGGATCTTTTTGGGCCGTCTTGGAGCGATCTTGGGGGCCTCTTCACCCGTCTTGGACGCTGTTAAGACCAAAAAGGCGAATATGCAAACAAACTACAGCTTCCCGTAGGGATCGGGACGGTTGTTGGCTCTTGGGGCCTTGTTGGGGATCCTCTTGGAGCTCTGTCGGGGCCTCTTGGAAGCCTTTTTGAGCTGTGTTGAAGCCATCTTCTTTGTGTTTGAGCTCTCCTTGGCGTGTGGGAACCCAGCTTGAGCCAGCTTAGATGGCATCTTGGGCATCTTATCTTGGGGGTCACGGAGTGTCGACGGGGGTGCGTTGAGCTCGCCCCCCTCCCCAAACGCGATGTTAGACCTTGGAGCCCTGGGGGAGGGAGAAAGTGGGAGGGGGACAGCCAAATAGCTCACACGCCTTCTCACCGCAAGCAAGCGGGGGTCGGCGGATGACGGGTAGCGCCCCTGGAGTGGACCGTTTGTTTCTTTACACAGTAGTGAGGTGCGGGTTGCACTTGGGAGCTTCGCTGGCGGATGACGGGGAGCGCGCTCAGACTCGAAGAGTCGCGCGATGGACGTTGCTATCCATCTGGGAGGTTGCAGTAAGAGAACCATATTTTCATCTGGGGGGGTCAAGGGTGGGAAGGGCCGGGGATCGCTCCGTGACCCAAGACCGGGCGCATGACGGGAAGCGCGCTCAGAAGGCCTTGGCTCGAGCGATTCTTGGCGTTTCTCGTGTGTCGGCGGGGTCGCAAGCCCCCGCACAGCATGCATGCAGTTGATGGCGGGACACGTTTTGCTTCTTCTCCTTTCACGCGCCATCGCTAGCCGAAGTTACCCACGCTGGAGGGCCGAGCGTTCGGTGACGGCACGGTCACCGTGGAGCTCCATGCCTTCGACCGACGCCGAGGATGGGAGCGAGCCAGTGCACAGCACAAGGAGTTATCACCGCGCCTGCCAAGCCAGACTCGCCAGAGGGCGGATGTGGTTTGATGTCGACCTTCATGAAGGCTAGGACGTTGCGGCACACTCCAGCTATGTGGTTACCTCAGACGGCGACACAGCTTACTCGCCTGAAGCTTGGATGTGGGATCGCCCCGACTACACCATCACGCCTTCCCCACGGATGGAGTCCATGTGGATTGCTTCATGGGACGGTATCACAGTTACACAACGATGGCAGCTGGGACAATTGGTAGGCATACGTATGCAGGATTCTGCCGTGGCTTGTGTGGAGGAGGAAACCAGTCTGTCCGCTGTCGCCGCCGACGAGGAGGACATAGCCGAGAGCATCTTGCTGCAGGTCCCTGCGGCACCCCAGGCGGCGCCCACTGCCAGCGAGAAGGCCCCCCAGAAGAACCCGTTCCAGGCGTCGCGCTGCTGGATCGGAGCGACTGACCGCCACCGTGTGCTGATCGAATCCACCCCACAACCCCGTGGGGCGTCGAAGTGGCAGGAGCTTGCGGGACATATGATCGACGACGACCATGCTGCATGCTCTTCGCTCCGCGCCGTGAGCTCAAGGGAATGAAGTAGTAGACTCGGATGTTGGGTATACTTCAGGTGAGTCCACCAGGTTGCATGCATGCACCAGTGCTCACTTCATCAGTAAAGCCTGCCGCAGGCGCCTGGTTAGTTTTGCGTTTTCCCAATACTTGTGCCTCTTCGTCCGCTCCCCTTCCTTCTTGGCTCGCTGCGCTGGTGACTTTGAGTTTGGCTCCGCCCGCAGCCCTGCTCCCTGGCATGGCCTGGAGCGTTGCCGACCGCGCATTGCTGGTAAGGGCGGCTCCCGCTATGCTGTATTATATTTATCCTGCACATGATGCGTTGCGCCGTTTGAAAATCACTGCTCGCCGCCAGCCCGTGGCCAGAGGGTTACGTGCTGATGTGCGGGCTTCCCCACCAGGTAGTGGTGAGCTCGTATGTTGCGTCCGTGGACGCGGGCGCGCGCGGGCCGACCTTGCGGCTGGCCCTGTGGATGCTCGCGAGACCTCTGCGTTGGGGTTGCAGCTCCAAAGGAGCGCGCTCAGACTCTCAGAGTCGCGCGATGGACGTTGCCATCGACCCGGGAGGGTGGAGCAAAAACAGAATATTTTCAATTGGGACAGTGCAAGGGGGGAAGGGACCAGGGTTCACTCGTGATTCAGGCTTGGCAGATGACGGGAAGCGCTTTCGAGGAACGAGAAGCGAGCTGGGCTTTCTGGCGGAAATTGTAGCACATCTAATGACCTTCGAACCAAAATCTTACCATATCGTTCGGGACTGCACGCCGGACCAGCTTAGCGGATGACAGGAAGCGTCTTCGAGGAACGAGAAGCGAACTGGACGTTGTGTTTGAAACTGTAACATATCTATGCTTTTTTGCAAACCTTATTCTTATTATACCGTTCGGGATTGCACGCCGGACCGGCTTAGCTGATGACGGGAAGCGTCTTCGAGCAACGAGAAGCGAGCTGAACGTTCTGGCGGAAATTGTGGCATATTTGATAATTTCCAAAACCATATTCGTATTGTACCGTTCGGGATTGCACGCGGGGCTGGCTTAGTGGATGACGGGAAGCGTTTTTTTCGGAACGAGAAGGTGATGGGAGCTTGTCAGAGGAAGCGTTCTTCATAAGTAAGAAAAATAGACGCGAGGGACAACGGGCTCGGGGTCGCAAGTGAGAGTTCGGTTGGCGGACGACCCCCAAAAAAGGCCGCTTCGTCTGAGACATCCTCGGACAAATGAGATTTTCAAAGACGTGCTTTAATACGTTTTACGTTAAAAATGAGGCTCCCGATCGAGACATCCTCAAACATATGGGATCTCCATGGGTCTTACGAGTTCGTCGAAGTCTTATAAATGAGGCCCTCGCTCGAGACATCCTCGAAGAAACGGGATGGTGGACGAGTTGTTTCAAGACGTCTTCGGTTCAAAATGGGGTTTTCGTTCGAGACATCCTCGAAACCTGGTGATATCCAGGCAGCTTGCAAACCAAGGCGGTTCAAGACGGGTTCAAGATGGTTCCAAGATTGTCCATGAGTGTTCCAAGACGGTCCAAGATGACCTCCATCGTCATCATCATCATCAGCAGCGTCATGAGC